CATATTTGCAACACATAATGATCACAGTCATTGTTAAGGGCTAGTAAATGTGCATAACATATCTTAATTCTTTTTTTTTTTTTTTTTTTTTTTTTTTTTACAGAACCGGGGATTGAACTCAGACCCTTGTGCTTGCTAGGGAAGCGCTTATTCCACTGAGCCATCTCCCCGGCCCCAAATTTATTTCCTTTTTTTTTTTTTTTTTTTTCAGAACTGGGGATTGAACTCAGGCCCTTGCATTTGCCAGGGAAGCACTTATTCCACCTTAATTCTTTTTTGTTCCCTTCCTTTCCCTTCCCCTGGCTGCACCCTACTCCCATCTCTCTCTCTTTTTTCCTCCTATTATCTGTCTTTCATTTTGCTCTTATGAAAGAAACCACGCGATACTTGAGCTGAGTGTTCTGATTTATTTCCCTTAATATTATGATCTCCATGTACATCCCTTTTCCTACAAATGATTTAAAGTTTCCGTCTTTCTGGCAGAGTAATACTTCATTTTGTGTAAATACCGTGTTTTCTTTATCCCTTCTTCTGTTGATAGACATATAGGCCACTTCCAAGATTTGCCTTTGTGAGCTGTGCTGATACCAGTGTGGGTGTGCATATGTCACCATAATATGGTATTTTTTTACTTTTCTTTAGGAACATACCTGAGCAGGGAACAGCTGGGTCAAATGGAATTTCGTGTTTTAGGTTTTTGAGAAATCGTCATACTGATGTCCATAAGGATTGTATTAGTTTATATTTCCACCAACAATGAAGAAGTCATGTTTCCCACAGTCTCGCGAGAATTTGTTATCTGATTTCTTCGTGACAGCCATTCTCTATGAGTAAGATGGAATCTCAGTGTTGTTTTAATTTGCATTTCTCTAAAAACTGTTGAACAGCCAGTCCCCCGGTGCGGGCCCCCCGCACATCAGATTATTACCTTATTTTGAGAGCCACCAAGACATTGGTCATCCTAAAGATCATGTGACCAGTGAGACAACACCATCATGTCATCGAGGCCTTTTGAAAGTCCACCTCCCTATAGACCTGATGAATTCAAACCAAATCATTATGCACCAAGCAATGACATATATGGTGGAGAAATGCACGTTCGATGGATGCTGTCTCAGCCAGCCTATTCTTTTTACCCAGAAGATGAAATCCTTCACTTCTACAAATGGACCTCTCCTCCAGGAGTGATATGGATTCTGTCTATGCTCATTATCGTGATGTGCATTGCAGTATTTGCCTGTGTTGCCTCCACACTTGCCTGGGACAGAGCCTATGGAACTGGCCTTCTAGGAAGTGGCATGGTTACCCTTACGGAGGAAGTGGCTTTGGTAGCTACGGCTATGGCTATGGTTATGGCTACGGTTATGGCTATGGGGCAGGCTATACTGATCCAAGAGCGGCCAAGGGCTTCCTGTTGGCCATGGCTGCCTTTTGTTTCATTGCTTCATTGGTGATATTTGTTACCAGTGTTATAAGATCAGAACTGTCCAGAACAAGGACATATTACTTGGCTGTAATAATACTGAGTGCCATCCTGGGCATTATGGTGTTTATTACCATGATTGTCTATATAATGGGTGTCAATCCTACTGCCCAGGCATCTGGATCTATGTATAGCTCACAGATATATACACTCTGTAGCCAGTTCTATGGACCTGCAGTTAGTAGCCTCTACATGGACCAATATTTGTATCACTACTGTGTGGTGGATCCCCAGGAGGCTGGCTATTGCCATTATGCTGGGGTTCCTGATTATGGTGGCTTTTGCTTTAATAATTTTCTTTGCTGTGAAAACACGAAGAAAGATGGACCAGTATGATAAGTCTAATATTTTGTGGGACAAAGAAAGCATTTATGATGAGCAGCCCCCCAATGTTGAAGAGTGGGTTAAAAATATGTTCGCGGGCACAGAAGATATGCCTCCGCCCCTGTCTAACTATGTGGAGAGAGTTGACAGTCCCATAGCATACTCTTCCAATGGCAAAGTGAATGGCAAACAGTCCTATCCAGAATCTTCCTATAAATCCACACCCTTGGTACCTGAAGTGGTGCAGGAGCTTCCGCTGACCTCCCCTGTGGATGACTTCTGGCAGCCTCGGTACAGTAGCACCAGTAACCTGGAGACACCTTCAAGGAGAGCTCCCATGAAGGGAAAAGCAGGCAAGCCGAAGCGAGCAGAGCAGCACCACTACGAAACAGACTATACAACCGGCAGCGAGCCCTGCGACGAGCTGGAGGAGGACTGGATCAGGGAGTATCCACCCATCACTTCAAATCAGCAAAGACAGCTCTATAAGAAAAACTTTGACAGTGGCCTGCAGGAATACAAGAGCTTACAAGCAGAACTTGATGAGATCAACAAAGAACTTTCCTCGTTTTTTGGTTGGTTTTTGTTTTTGTTTTTGTTTTTGTTTTGTTTTGTTTTGTGGTACAGGAGATTGAACTCAGGACCCTGTGCTTGCCAGGCAAGCGCTTATTCTACTGAGCTATCTCTCCAACCAAAATTGCAGTGTTTTTTTTGTTTTTTGTTTGTTTGTTTTTTGTGGAACCGGGAATCAAATTCAGGCCCTTGTGCTTGCCAGGGAAGTGCTTATTTTACTGAGCCATCTCCCCAGCCACTTTCCTCGTTTAGATAAAGAATTGGACAACTATAGAGAAGAAAGTGAAGAGTACATGGCTGCTGCAGATGAATACAACAGACTAAAGCAAGTTAAACGATCAGCAGATTACAGAAGTAAGAGGAATTACTGCAAACAACTGAAGAGCAAATTATCGCACATCAAGAGGATGGTTGGGAACTATGATAGACAGAAAACGTAGAGAGCAGATGCCACAGTGCTGGAACAATGAAGGAGTCTGGGGTCTCAGTGATGTTCTCACAAGGCAAACGACTGGACTAGGAAGCCAAAACTTGGTTATCTTTGTTATCATTACAGAGTTTTGGTAGCTTTTATATCATCAGTATTGAAGCATTTTATAGCTTTTGTTAATTAGTTGGGCTGAATACTCCAGTTAAAGGTTTTATGCTTTAAACATTGGTTCCTGTATTAAGAACAGAATACTGGGCCAGGCTTTATGCCACACACCTGCAATCCTTGTGCTCTGGGAGGCTGAAGCAAGAGGACTGCAAGGTCAAGCCCTACCTGGGCAGCTCAGCAACTTGGTGAGACCTGTTTTGTTTTTGTTCGTTTGTGTGAGACAAGGTCTCACTCTGTATTGTAGGTTGGCCTTGAACGCACAAAGCCTCCTGAAAAAAAACCTGCTGGGGATGTAGCTTAGCATGAAACTGAGTTTCCCTGTACTAGGAGAAAAAAGAACAAAATGCTGTTTGAGGTTTTTTGACAGTTGATGTCTTAATACCTACATCTTATCACATAAGCAGTCTCACTAACCCTACCAACAACCCTTCTGATAACTTCTTTATAATCATTTATTTGCAGATAAAGATACTTAGTCCTTGCATTTAAGTTTCTGAAATGAAACTGCTTGTTCAAATGTGCAGTTTTGGTTAAGTCTGTTTTATGACTGTTTATCCATAAAGTCCCTGCCTCTCACATTTTAGCTGTTGTGTATACTGAGTTCTACCAGCCTCACTTATTGATTTTTTTTCAGTTATTATATTTAAATGGGTAAAAAGTTTGTTATTCTGTTTTGTTTTATGTTACTATGGTAATTGAGATCATGTCAAATTAATAAATGTGTGAAATTTAAAGATTGTAAATATTTACTTTTAAAAATCTAAGCTTAAATCTAGTTGCAATTTTGTGTATTTTTAAATATTTTTGTTTTATGGTTTACATTTTTTTGTAATCTCAACTCTTTCATTATATCAGTATCTTATTAAGTTGATCTTTGAATTCTGATTTGAATTATATCTTACAGGAATGTTCAAGTTTTGTAAATGTTTTTTTTTTTGGTTTTTTTTTTACATTTTGGTCCACACATTATAAAGATGTATTAGGTGAGCCCATTTTAGGCTAGTGCTACATTCTTATATTCTTTTTTTTTTTTTTTTTTTT